GGTTAAATTAATACTTTTATTGTTAATATATTTAATTTTTCAAATATACAGTAGTGCACATCTTAGAAATAACTTTGAATTTTCTTTAACTTTTGTGTGTGTGACTTTGACCGTAAATTCACCCGTCTGTATAGACTTGTAAACATTAAGTAGCATATGCGTATTTGTCCTTTCAATTTCATCACTGTTATCGTCTTTCCTCTAAAAGCAAAAAGTTCGAAGAAAAAAGAATGGTATATACATCATAGCGGTTAAATTTTGGACCGCCCGGCTCAACCAGCTCGGCCCGTGATAGGTTATTGTCTAACTTGATTCACTTTTTTGATGAATCTAAAAATATTAATTTGGATCGGTCCATTGTGGATTAGTGAATTAAATATATTTTCACAATTAAATTAAAAATTATGAAAAAAATATATTATTAAACTTTATAGAAAAGACTTATTATGCTCTTATATCTTATAATTATAACTATTTCAATAATAAGACAAAAAAAAATTATCAAAATAAAATTAAATATCAACCACAATTAACTTATAATTGTATAAAATATTAATAAATAATATCAAAATCATATTAATTATCATAATTAATAACTAATGTATATATATATATATATATATATATATATATAAAATTTAATTAATGATATAAATGTATAATTGTCATAAATTAACATTTAGAAACTAGTTTTAAAAAAAAAACACTTAGAAACCAAAATAGTAAACTAGGTGGACCATAGTGAACCAAATTGTAAGTGAATCAGATAAAAAAAATTATAAATAAAATGAACTAAATTTTTCTGGCCTGCCCGAGTAAAAATCTTAAATATATTCAATAAAAATTACAACAATGGTGCATAAGTTCATTCGTTAAAATTAAACAATATTTTTTATATAAATATTTTTCATTTCAATGTTATTAAATTACAAGTTAGTGTGATCTTTTGTAAATAAGGCATGTACGCTACGGAAATTTTATGTTGGCGAAATTCAAGGTGGTCCATTGGACGGAGTGGCTGCGTGCAACATCTTAGAGACCAACGACCTAAGAAGAATGGTACAAGAATCGTACGCGAATATAAACAATTTAATTTGTATGGATCATGGTATCAAAGAAAACAAAGAAGGGCATTTGATTTCCATATATACTACCTTCCTTCGCATTGTCATGGTGGGTATATATTTCTTTTTGTATTGACAAAAATGTTGCGTAGGTATTATCACTAATAAGTTGAAGTAATAAGTCTACATATTACTTCAACTTTCACACTAGTCCAACTCTATGATTTTTCGGTTGGATTGATTAGAGAAGAATATCTATTGCAAAAGAAAAAATAAATAAATAGAAAGGACATTCATTTATATACGAGCGTTGTCCCCTTTAAGAAAATTTCTCCCCTGTTTCGGTGCATGTTAAGAAAGAAAACCGTACCGTCAAGCAGGAAAGTTGAATGCAAGCATGTGAAATCCTGCGTTCAACTGGCAACTCATAAACCCAACAACCTGCATGTGTGTGTACTCTCACCTCAATAATTCTTTATCCTGCACTGCACGCTGGATTTCATAGTCCAATTAGGGATAATTCTACTCAACTCAATTCTTAGGAGTAATAATGGAAGTTTCTAAGTTTTTTCTCTCTAATAATTTATACAATAAATGTTGGCACTAATTGATATAAGTTATTGAAATAAAATTATTGTAAGCATAATGATGATCTTCATCCCAAGCGTGACGAGAGACTACCATCCGATTCTACTCATTGTGATTAAGTATGACATAAAGTTAAAGGTGAAGACGAAGTAGAATGGTATTTCAAAAGCTTGCAATGTGGGTTTTGGAAATTTTGGTTCATTCGTTCTACTTAGCCAAGTCTTGAGTTTCAAAGCTTTTTTAAGTTCCAACAGGGAGAAAGTAACCATAAGCAATGCAAAATAGAGAGGGAACAAATATGAAGGTGCATTTATTATTAGAGGCTGCTTGATAGCAGAAGTTGAAGTATTATACATAAGTTCCTAAATTTAAATTCATGGTAGTCTCATTATAAATATTATGTATAAAAAAAATTATACAAAATGCATGGACGCGATCTCTATTTACTAACACATAAATGTCGTTTTACGGTTGTATCATAAAGGAATAAAGGAATTTAAGGTGATAAGTAGGAAATTTTGTTTAAGATAATAAGAATGAGATAATGTTTAAGGTTTGAAATAATGAAAAAATGGAATACATATTCAAGGGATTTTGTTCGTTAACTTTTTCATATCTAAAAACAAATATGACAATAGATGTCAAATTTAGGGACTAGTATTTTTTTTTAGATAATCATAATATTAATACAAAATATTATGTCAAAAAAATTAATTAATTTTTGTTATAGATTGTGAATACACACGGTGAATTTTTTCCTTCTAATGCAATTTATTCCATAGGCCAAGATTCAAACCCCAATATCTTAATAACAAGTGTCAATTTTTTTGGTAACATATGCCAAAAAAAAAAAGTATCTTGATAACAAGTGCCAAAATCTAATCTTAAACTGTTAAGAAATAGTCGTACGAACAACCAATTTTATGAAGGTATGAAAAATGTAACAAGTTCTTTGACATAATAACTTTGCAAATATGTTAAATATAGGGCACGTAAGCACCTTACTTACATGCCATACGTAAGATGCCCTATTAAAATTAACCTGACTACTTAACAAAATGTCTAACTTGTATGTGGAATTATATATTCAAGGACTAATTTTTTTCTTTCTATTAAATTTGGAGATTAAAATAACAACCTATGTACCCAAATAAGTGTGACTCAGTTAGCAACACGCTGACCTTGTTTGAGAGAGGAGGGGGAGAGAACATGAGTTTGATTTTCACACAATACATCCTTAGGTTGGGGACAATAACTTTAAATGGGACTAAGCCTTTTAAATCGAATATTTGTCCCCTTAGTCAATCCAAAAGTCTGAAACATGTAGAGATACCTTGAAATCTCTGTAAGGATCCAAAAGTTCTAATCATAGTAGTTAAAAAACAATGACAACACATTTTGAATTCAAAACCAAATTAAGAGTTTATTCTATTAAAATGACATATTAATTGTAATGAGATATCAAATTATAATTAATCCATTTTACTTCTATCATTTACTAGCATAACTAAAAAATATTAAGAAAATAAAAACATAATTACAGAATGAAAGACAGGATCTTCTTCACAATGCATGTACAATGCAAGTAAAAAAATACATAATATTTGTATAATAAAGAATATATATCCAAAGAAAAGGTATGAATACATATTTTTAATAATTTATTTCAATTTTAATTTTAGTTCTTATATTTAATTTTTTTAAAGTTTTAATCTTTATACTTCTGTTTTACTTACATTTTACTCTCTATAACATTATTTTATTTTATTTAGGTTTTGATTCTTATAATATACCAAATATATATTGACATTGATTTGAATGTCTCTTAAAAAATATGCATATAATTAGAAAATTAAGATAACCTATAGAATGAAAATATGTTTAATTAATCTACAAAAATCCTAATCGGTGGTGAAGTGAGGAAGAAAATGAAAAGCTGTCAAATGGCTAAAAAGCAGGCGACAAGACAAAAACTCTGCTTCTTAATTCTTTCATTTTGAACCTTTGGAGAAACACTGTACTAAAAGAGCATGCAACTTAAAACTTAAAACTTAAAAGGCAAGGAAACATGTACGGTTACGGACTATTACGTTACGGCCTGTAAATTACTGCACTGTGTTACATGGGTACTTCAATCTTTGCCGTTGGTTTGGTATACAATGTTTCACCGTTTCAGTTCATCTTTAATGGACTTGTCCGTAAATAATTGTTGCTAATTGGTAAACTACCTAGTTAGATTGAAACATGGGAAATTGCGCGGATGCTTCTTCGTGCGAGAATTGTACGTATTGAGATTGACAATTGCAAATATAAAGGACAAAATACATTTATTCTTTCTGAATTTTAGTAATATCTCTTTCAATTTTAATCTTACACGTACATATTTTTAAAATTTAGAAATTCAGACAACTATGTATTATAAATTAAGAAAGATTATTTCATGTAATATCTATTTGAATGTAATGTGTCTAAAAGTATCCAAGAATGACCAAGGCAGTTGGATCGATGGGGAATTTACGAATTTGTATGCTTAAGAACATGCCAAGATTTGTCGAGAGAAAAGAATCATGATAATTTGAACACTCAAATAATGCAAATACCAAACTAACATCTTTCGTTTTTCTTTATTATCATCGATGATTTCTATCTTTTCTTCTCATATTTCTCTAGAGGTGTCAAAAATCTTTTTCCAAGGAAAAAAATTAATTTTATATAACGTAGTTTAAAAGAAAAGCTAGGAAATTACGGGGATGCTTCTTGTGCGAATCATAAGAACGAGTCAATTCACCATTGGAAAAAATCATGTTGAAAGTTGAAGAATGACAGGATAAAGGGATGACTGGTGAGAATTTATATGTTGTCAATATATGTCAAGAACACAACAAGACAAGTTAATGGAAAGAAAAACAAAATTTCAAGAAGGCTTCTTGTGAGAATCATATGTAACGAGAAACGAGTAAATACCATGTTGAAAGATGAAGAATTGCAAGGCAATGGAACGAGTGACGGGAATTTACATGCTTTCAAACTCAATATATGTCAAGAACATATGTAAGAAGATGAATTAATCAAAAGAAAAACAAAATTAAGAAAGTGTATACATTGAAGCCAATATAATTAACACAAGTGTGTATTGAAAAGTTGAAGTCCATATTTTTAATTTACTTATATATAAGAAAGAATAAAATATTAGTAAAAATGTATAAGTTGACACATATGTAGTCTGAATTTTTATAATTTTTGAACTAATAAAACTGTAAAGAGGGACCAAGGTGTCCTTGAAAAGGGCAACAAGAGGAAGTAAACTGAAAGGGGTTTAGCTCCCTAGGGCACCCAAAATGGCCCAAGGCTAGTATGATTTGTCCCCACAACCCCACATGACTCTGTTTCTGAATCTACCACTTACTATTCTGCCTAAGCCTATCAATGATAAATAGCCACCCCGTTCCCTTTTCCCTTTCACACCAACCTATAGCTCCTTCAAATTTTCTATTCTCTTCTCCTTCCTCACTTATCCAAACCCACAATGGCCTTGAGAAAATCAACTAAACTTCCTCAAACAGCACTCATTAAGCAAATCCTCAAGAGGTGCTCGAGTCTAGGGAGAAAAGATGAGCAAGCCTTGCGTTTGGACGTGCCTAAGGGTCACTTTGTTGTGTATGTTGGAGAAAACAGAAGCAGATACATTGTTCCAATTTCATTCCTAAGTCGCCCTGAGTTCCAAACACTTCTCCATCAGGCAGAGGAAGAGTTCGGCTTTGATCATGAAAAGGGCCTAACAATTCCCTGTGAAGAGGACGTTTTTGAGTCTCTCACTTCCATGCTCAGATGAGAAGATTACTCAGTTACCAGTTTTCCTTGTCTTTGTTTTTTCGTCTTTTTTTTTAAGAATGAGAAAACAGCTACAGATGAAGCTGCTTCACTGCTTCTCTGACTTGCTTTTCTCCATTTCTTTATGTCACATATGAGGTTCCCTATTTTAGAGAGACTCTAACCTCAGCCATGAAAGAATGTTATTTAGATTGTAAATGTACTAGAATCGAGAGCATCATTTTTCCAACAGAGGTGTATATGTACCCTGTTGGAGAACTAATTACAAGGATATATGTTCATCATTTTCCATTCCTCTTTCTCTCTTTTGCTTCCAAATTATGCATTTCACTGCTTTGACTTCCTTTGATGGCACACCACATCTTCCACTAAATACGCTCCATGCTTTTTTATTTTTTAATTTTATTTTAGAGCTTTGCACGCTCCGTTTACACGTGCCAAAAAGGCTGAGTTAATTAATGAGTATATGGATCTGTTTATACATGCTTACGTTACGTACGTCTTAGGCACACAAATTAAATAATCAACTAATGACTGTATGGATGCTTACGTTACGTGTGTCTTAGGCACACAAATTAAAAAACTCAATTAATAAGTATATACGATGCTAACATTAGGCTCTGTTTGGTGTAACATAATTGCGTGAAGGGTGGAACCGTACGTAAGCGTGAGAAATACTGAAATGGAGAGGATTAAGAATTGGTACAAAGCAAAAGAAATGAAAAGAGGGAAAGAAATATGTAGGCTCCATGTTTTTTTTTTATCCCCTCTAAAGTAAGGTGATTTGAGGGGGAATCGACAAGTTACAATTGTGTATGTGTGATTAGGTATGGCAATTTAACCTACTATCATGAGTACTTGATTTGAACGGGAAAACTAGATCAGGTTTGGGTTCGAGTTTTTCCGATTAATAAAATCGGGAGCGGGGACGAGAATGGGGATGTTAATGGCCGCCCCGCCCCGCTCTCGCACTGCTTAATAATATAATTAAAAATTATTTACATATATATAAACTAAAATTATAAATATTTATATGTAAAAATTTGTATTATTTTATTTTTCTTTTGTTTTTTTTAAATTTATTCATATTTATTTAAAAGAAAAAAAGAAAACAAAAAGGTAGGAACGGGACGGGGTGGGAAAACTCAAACCCGCCGGGAACAGAGATGGATACCCAGATTTTATCTCAGCGAATATCAGGATAAAACGTTCCCTGCCCCTGCCCCACCCCATTGCCACGCCTAGGTGTGATATATTTTCGTGATTGTACACAAAGTATATATCTCACACATAATCGATTATATCAGTTATATAATTAATTATAAAAATCAATTTTGAGTTTCGAAGGGTTTTTTTGTGTGTGTGTGTTATATTGTGAGAAATTATAATCAGTTATGATATGCTTTTTATTATTTCATAGGTTTAACTTGTTCATATAATTGATTATATGGTAAGTAAAATTGATTAAGTAGACTGAGATATATTTTAATAATTACGGATGATTTATATAAACTTATTTAATAAAAATATTATCTAAATTAAAATTTAATTATAAAAAATACATTTGTAAATTAATTTATAACATTATTTTAATTTCTTAATCCAATATAAATTGATAAAAAAAATCAATTTTTTCTATTTCTCTTTCATTAAAAAATTTCGATTTCTACTTTATTTTTCACTTACTTATTTTTTTCTCGTATATTTCTTTCACTTCTATTCCCACTACTAAAATCAGCTCATGTTAAAGAATCAATAGATAAAAAGTTTGTATTAAAAATTTGTAATGACATGTGCTAATCATTTTTTTTTTAATAATTAATGCCCTAAAAATATTTATTGTTCTTTAAATACATTTCTTGAATCTTCATGATACAAAGTTGTATTATTAATTATTTAATTAAAGGTATTTATAGTCATGTTTGATGAGTTGAAATTTATAAATCATAGTCATTATATTTTAAGATGACTTCAATTTATATTTTTTTCGTCTTGATCTAGTATATCTTATAGTTTTTAAATATATAATTTTTAAATAATCATATATTAATAATAATTTTTTAATGATTAACTTTTTGCATATGATGTTATATTTAGAGAAATGTTATTATTAAATTTTCTAACATTTTTTTAGACACACTCTATTATTAATTAATTTTAAAAAATACAAATTGATGAGTCTTACTTCTTAATTACTGGATAGCGTGTGTTGTCAACACTTTTATATTTTTTAAAATAGATTTATATATATATATATATATTTT